CAGACAAGTAGACGGAACAAATTTTGAGCCTACGATGCTGCACTGACCGTAACGCTGTGACGATAAACCACCAACATACACGGAACGAGAACTACAAAGTTGCGATTTTGCTGTTATTTATTTATTTAATCACATATATATTGGTACAAAGGGCACCGGATACATATGCGCCACACAAAATAATGAGAATGGGAGAAGGAAGGAGATGCGTATATATAAAAGAAGGAAAAAAAGAAAAAGAGAAGAGTAATGATGGGGGGAACTGAAATGTACAACCAGAAGAGCTCTCTCAGTTAAGAAAGTTATAGACACTCTTTATGTAGAAAGTAGAAGAAGGTTACAGCAGGACCGCCACTGGCTTCTATTCTGAACCATATCTGATAACGTCTCTAGCTACTGTGTTGCACCATCTCTCGGACCCCAGCCAGGCAGTCGTGAAGGACCAACAGAAGCTAGCCCTTTGCAGCTCTCTTTTATGCCACGACACCATGTCATACAGTGACCTCCTCTCCGCTTTTTCCAACCAGTCCCAGAGTCGGCAAATAATGCACGACGTGGGAACCTCTGGGACAACATTCGTAAAACATGTCCAAGCCACCGAAGTCGGTGTTTCAAGATGGTGACACCAATTGAATTATCGTCTCTGCGCCCCAACACACGATGCCGAACCTCTGCATTACTAACATGGTGTTGCCACTGAATGTCAGCAATCCTTCGAAGACAACGATGATGGAACACAGAGAGACGTCTAACATCCTCAACTCGGAGAGGCCAGGTTTCACAAGCAAAGAGCAAAACTGCTCTCACCGACGCGTTGTAGATCCGACCTTTTACAGCCAGACTAACATCACGAAGGCGCCAAAGATGGCCCAGATTGGCATAAGCCGCTCTGGCTTTCATTATACGTGCATCAATCTCATCACTCACGCCACCACCAGCACTTATGTAGCTACCTAGATACACGAACTTCTCAACTACTTCACTCTGCTCACCATCCAGGGTGAGTACAGGATGAGAATCCTGCCAGTCTTGTAGGAGTACCTTGCACATGGAGGGTGCAAAGCACATGCCGTACCTGCGGACACTGATTGCCAACTGATTACGTGCGGATTGCATGCCTTGGACATTATCGCACAGTAAGACAATATCATCCGCATACTCAAGGTCGAGAAGTCGTTCTCCAGGCAACATATCCACACCGCCATTACTTACATCCATCAAAGCTGTTTCCAGGATGTTGTCGATGGCAAAGTTGAAGAGGAATGGTGGGATTTGGAAACCCTGCCTAACCCCACTGCTCGAGTGGAACAAGGGAGAAAGGTGGTTGTATGCCCTCACTCTGCCTGAGGTGTTCGTATACAGGGCCTTTAAGATGTTAATGAACTTCTCAGGCACACCCTTCTTCAATAGACAATCCCAGAGAACAGTCCTGTCCAACGAATCGAAGGCAGCCCTAATATCAAGAAACACTACGATCGTTGGCCTGCGATAAGTATGACGGTGTTCTAACATTTGGCGGAGGGTGAAGATGTGATCAATGCATCCTCGACCAGAACGAAAACCAGCATGCTCCTCGCGAGTCAATCGTTCTCGGGTTTTAAACAACCTACGAAGACTGACAGAAGCCAATAGTTTGGACGCAATCGGAAGTAGACTTATCCCCCGATAGTTGTTACAGGAACAACGTGAACCCTTTTTAAAGATATGGACGACTATCGACTCATTCCATGATGTTGGAACACTTTCTTGCTCCCAAACCTTTGCAAACAACGCAGTCAGTTCTTTAGCCAGAAAGTCACCACCATCTTTAAAAAGAGCCGGAAGTAAGTTCTCTGGGCCAGGTGATTTGTAACGTTTCAAGAGTTGGAGTTCCTTGCGGACTTCCGCCTCGTTTGGTGGGTCAGTTGTCACCGGCCATGGGGGGGACAAACTGGTTGATGTTGCCGGAGCAGCAGGCCAATTGAACTACCCTTCGAAAAATTCAGCCCATCGTCCAAGACGTCGAGAGATGTTAGTGATTGGCATCCCGTCATCCTTGTAGATTGTTTCACTCACACCAAACTTCTTGCTGCCAGTGGCTCGGATGAGTTGGAAGAGCTTCCGGCAGTTACCAGATGCAGCTGCTGCTTCCATCTCATTAGCACGCTCCGACCACCAGGCTTCCCGGTCCTTACGCAAGCTTTGCCCGATTTCATTACGTAACAGCCTTCGTTTGTGGTCAAACTCATGGTCACCTGGAGTAGACCGACGGGCTTCCATCAGTTGTAAGGAGCCAGAAGAAACCCAGTGCTTGTAAGCGGGACGTTTCGCGAAGCCGCAAGCGGCTTTACTCGCCATTTTCATGGCGTCATGAAGATGCAACCAATGCTCGTCTATACTTTTCGGTGGGATGGTAGCTAGCCTAGAGGCTAGCTCCGCTCGATACTTACTTGCAACAGGTGTTGCAGCCAGTTTACTAACATCAATCCGTTGGTGGTGGTCAATCCTTCGGCCACTGAAAAGTAAGGTGAGATTGGCGCAGACCAGGGCATGATCAAACTCCAGATAGGTACTACAAAAGGAGCGGCAGTCCTGTACACAACCACGCCATCGGTAGCTGATCGCGATGTGATCAATCTGAGTCCAGGCTTGGGATGCAGAGGGAGGACTCCAGGTGGCACACCGGCGATGACTGTGCCGGAAGTTAGTGCTGGCCAGAAACAGGTTGTGGTCTGTGCACAGTTGCAGCAAACGGTCCCCGTTATCTGTCCTGCGACCAACACGTCCCCATTGGCCACCTAAACGACTCTCTTCTGTGCCTAGACGCCCGACCTGTGCATTCAAGTCTCCGGCTAGTACTACAATATCTGTTGATCGCGCTTTCTGGAGAAGAACTGTTAACTGATGGTAAAACTCATCCTTGATTGCATCCGGGCTGCAATCTGTCGGGGCATGGGCGGAGATGACGAAAAGACACCGTTTCTCACGCCGATTTCTTCTCACTTTGATGGAACTTCTTAATCTAACAGCACATAACCGACTGTTAATGGGGATCCAATCGATTAGTGCTGCCTCAGCTCTAGCGCTTAGTGCGACACCAACGCCAGCAAGACCAGACGAAGATGCCACAGGGTCCCCGGATAAGCGCACGTGAAACAAGCTTTTCGAGGCGACAGATGGAGAGCGGATTTGTAGTACTTCACTAGTCTTGAATACGGGTCTCGGATAGACAACAAACATCAACATTAAGACCTTCCAAAGACATAGCCAACCCTATCTGTTGTCTGATATGCATTAGTGTGCGAACGTTGAAGGAAGCCAGCTTGAACGGCGTACGTGGTTTCAGAAAGACTGCTTCAGTATTCATAATCGGTGGAAGCATTCACTTTCAACCAGACAGTGACTGGATATCGTTTAGATAGGACAGATTTTCCACCAAGAGCGAGCTGCTGCATAAGTTGAAAAGTAAGGTTACACAAATTGGGGATAAAAGGGGGTGAATTAGCGAAATGGTAAATAAAAATAAAAATAATAATAATAATAATGCAAATCGAATTGTTTCTAGTATGAACGAGAATACAATTGTCAGCTGAATGTTCCATTTCATTTATTTGTGTGTGAGCTGTGATACTGCCCGGGTGCCCAAACCGAAGCAGGTGATTTTCTTAGGGGGCCACACCCCGAGCCTTTGACCTAGAGGTCTGATCCACAAGGCAGTGGGGCATCGTGAGGAGATGCAGTCCCATGGTAGTCGTTGACCAACAATAGGTTCATTCGCCATTCGTTCCATCAGGATACTGGAGCCCATGTGCACCATTGGTTTGGAATCAGAGTTTTCCAACTCCCCTAGGTGGACTCGCCTTGTCCACCAACCCGGTTATAGCGCCGGACATTCGCTTTTGCTGTTAAAGCATTTCTTTAGTACTAATAAAAAACAATAAAGAGGTAGGAAGGTAAATTCAGTCAGAATGTAGTTGGAACAACCAGAGACTACAGTTGCAGATCAAAAATACAGGGTGAATATTTTACTCTTCTTCTAAGTGCGAGAAAGTATTTTGAAGTGAACAAGCTACAAGTAGATCCCAATTATCAGGACATTAAGCTAATATTCAGACTGTGAAAAAGGAAGATTTTGGGCAATGCTTGCGGATGGTGTTCTAGGACATAAAATATGTTGTATGAATTTGTAAGTACTTGGAAATGTTTACCTCTAACTAAGTCACCTAAAATTACACTAAGGTGACCAGAAAATAGCGAATTCGTTACACGTGTATTTAATAATCTGATTAGCCTAACATAAATAAAAGTCACAGCTGATTCCACATATGGCCGCTGTGTAACTTATGCAGACCTACACAGATATCCATATTTTCAGCAGTTAGTGTGTCCTAAAAAACATCTTTATAACAGCCAAAACAGGCATATATATCTGATCTTTGTGACGCTGACCAGCCAGTAAAAAGTGAAGCAAAGTATAACCAGAACCATAACTACGATCCAGATCACTTTATCCACGTCTGAATGAAGAGGCTTCGAGCCACTAAAAATCCAGAATTATCCCGCAAAAGTAAGCCGACGGACAATATATAACCCGGTCATTGAGTCCAAGTACAGTGTGAGACCGGTGAATCGTGAATCGGCGAGACTAAAGAACATGGACGAGCCAATCAGAAGCTTTCGCGGGTTTTCAAGGTCATGGCGCTAAGTTCGGTACCTGACGCTTACGTACGGTCGGTTTACAAAGGATTTTAGAGGAAACATGATAATTAAGCGTCTACAAAATAAGTTATCATAAGATTTTGGCGCAAAATTCAATTATATATTTGGAGTTTTGGCATTATAGCTGATGTCAGTTCGTGATGAAAACCCAAAGTATATACTTTGGAATTATACTACCCAAACAACCAATAAAGGGGAAATAAAGGCGAACAAAGGGGAAATAAAGCGGACGAAAGCGTAAATAAAGGGGAAATGTCGCTTTTTCGCCTGCACGTCGGTTATTTAGGGGAAAAGTCGCTTTTCCCCCTTACGTCGTATATTTGGGGGATATTTGTAGACAATTTGTCGTAACGTATAACATTTGAATGAACCGCAATAAGGAACAACATTTTGCTGAGTATGTCAAAAATAACGAATTATTACATTAAATTTATGAATTTCATCATTATTACTCATGCAATAAAATACGGACACAGGCTTTTGTATGTGATGCGTTTGTACTTACTTTCTCTGTTGTTTAGCTAAGGTGTTCCGACATGGTTGGCCGCCATCACAAATTATTTACACGATGCAAGTGAGTGACGTGCTCTGTGTTTTTAGTACCTTCTAACTGTTTATGTTGTTAGTCTAATAACATGAGTTTATGCGAATTCAGTGATAGAGCTCGTAGACGTAGGGCAACCGTGAACTTGTCAAGAGTCCTCGGATGTCATAGAACTACTTATAACAGACGTTGGAATAAATTACGTAACGATTTTCTGAGGAGACATGACTTGCTTTCGTTTAGTAACTTTGCTAATGAAAGCACAACTACAGGTAACTGACTTTAGCAACTATATATGTATAAACTATGTCAGTTGACAGAGAAAATAATTGTCATGAGATTCCTTCAACTGTATTACCTTCCACAAGCTGTACCAATGAAAGGCTTCTGGAGGATAATGGTACGTGTTTGGAGTTCATACGCTAATAAATTTATTATAGAATGGTCTACCGTCGATTTGCCCTGTCAAAAGCCTTTGAGTCGCAAAGAGAAGATTAACAGGATACTAATGCATTTAATGACATCCACCTATCTGAGTATCCGGGATGCAGGCAGGGTTCTGAATGAATTTCGCCTTATCGTACCAGACTTGCCAACGAGCATTAGAAGTATCTTGAGAACGTGCACAAGTGTACAACCTAAGTCCATCAGCAGTGGGGTTTACTACCATCTTGGATTGAAAACTAACCTAAGATATGTTCCTATAGGAATTATACTATTTCTGAAATAAAAGAAATGACTGAAACGGGTCTACTAAGTTTAAGGTTCAATAAATACATAGCTATTAAGTTAAGTGCAGTAATATGTGATGCTCCGGCTCGTTCGGATGTTAGGTACACTGTTAATCACAACGGAAAGGCAGGTTGCGACCGGTGCGTGGTTAATGGTAGACGACTTGATGGAAGGATGACTTTCCCAAACGGTGAATATACGTTAAGAACAGACGACACTTTCAGGAATCAGACACAACATATTCACCATAAGGGTCATTCTTTATTCGAAAGTCTACCAATAGACATGATATTAACTTTCCCCTTAGATCTCATGCACATGGTTTACTTAGGTGTCACAAAGAAACTTGTGACTCTCTGGATAGAATTAGGACACAAGAGACTAAAGAACATGAACTCATGTGTAATTAGGACCATTAATAAGTTGATATCTAGGTGCGTAGAAAGTACTCCCTCTGACTTTCCACGTAAATGTCGAAAAATTAGACTACTTATCTGTATGGAAAGCGTGGTAGGATTAAACTATACTGCCGAGCCAGTCAGAAGCTTTCACGGGTTTTTCAAGGTCACGGCGCTAAGTTCGGTACCTGATGCTTGCGTACGGTCGGTTTACAGCAGATTTTAGGGAAGACATGATAATTTAGCGTCTACAAAAGAAGTGATCATAAGATTTTAGCGCGAAATTCAATTATCCATTTGGATAAATAGAGTTTTGGCATTATAGCTGATGTCAGTTCGTGATGAAAACCCTAAGTATAATTCCTAGCCTTAATCATGAACTAGAAATCATAATTTGAATTCTTCACAGGTTTATAACCCTCATTTGGTCTTAGTTATTATGTTGACACTCTCAGAGTCACTCTAGCGTCGCTCAAAGGTTGTCCATAACTTATAGTCTCACCTATAACCCTAAACCCTACACCTAAATCTTAACTCTAATCCCAACCCGTAAACCATACCAATATACTAACATTATTGAAGCTGTGGTCGGAGCTAAAAGAATTTTTGAGACCTTATGGTTTCAGAGATCGACTACTATGGAGCCATATGGATGTGTTCCTGTACCGTATGCACTAAGATTTTAAAACTTCTGAACCTATATCTGACCTTGAGAAGTTTTTGATCTATGTAAAAGAAGTGTTTCCACTTTAATTCTTTGGTTTTGTATAATATATTTTTAATGTATACCAACTGTCTTCTGATTGGCTTATATTTCTCAGGGTCATTTAAAATTCGTTCAAAGGTCGGCAGTATAGTTTAATGTTACCGAAAGCGTCAGAGTGTAGGTTGTTTCTTCTATACTTAAGCCCGGTTATTCTCCAAAACATTTTGCCTAAACCTTTGTATATAAATTTTAAGTGTCTTGCTTTGTCTATGTACTTGCTTGCACATCCTAAGTTTTATAATAGGGTTACAGAATCTGTCAGGATGGATTTAAGGAATTTTCTAAGAGAATATGAATGGTGTTACGGATGTGAGAACTTGGTATATAATGTGCATTCCCTACAGCATCTTCCTGACGATGTTCTAGCACATGGGCCGTTAGATAGCTTCTCAGCATTTCCTTTCGAGTCTTATATGAGACAAATTAAGCGATCAGTACACAGTGGGTATTCCGTAGCTAAGCAAGCAGCTCAGCGTTATGCGGAACAAATGTCTTTCTGCGATAGGCTCCAGGTTGACATTTCGACTAATGATAACCCAGTTATAGGTGCGGCTGACTCACGCAAGCAAGTAATAATGTTTAGGAATAGCAAAATAAATTCTTTTCATCCTGATAACGTTGTAGTAGTAAAGGGTAAACCGGGATTGATAACTGATATTCAGGATAGTGGCCTAATGAAATTCAGGCAATTTACTGACCCACAAAATTACTTGACTGATCCATTTCCTTCCACTAACATAGGAATATTTAAATGCTCCGTAGTTTGCAGTGCTTACATTTGGGTTTCCATCCGTGATGTTGACTGTAAATGTATGTCTATTAATTGTGTTAATCATTTGGTTATTGTCCCTTTGTTGCACACTATAATGTAATTGTATTTCCTTAAATAGTCTCCAATCAATAAGTACGTAATCCTTAAGAAACAAGGCAAAAGTAATCTCGTGATTGCATCGGGACTTTGGGTGATTGGAGAAAAACGCTGCCTGTATCCGAGGGAGAACATTGACCTTCATCTGCAAAACAATGACCTACCGGAAGACAATTGGTCTATGTTCAAGTGCAGTATTGTTCACAAATGCGGTTAGTTAAAGACATGCAAATTATCGCTTCTTGTAGAAAGTCTCAAATCAGCGAATGAATTGTTAGCAGCGTTGCAAGTGTGCTATGCTACTGATGAGAACTATCCGCCCGACGAAAATACGTTGCCCTTAAACACAGATAAACAAAAGAGGTCAGTTCAACAATCCTACTTACATTTCGTAGAAGTGCATTAAAATGTAAAGAAAGTTTTATGTACAATTCCGTGGACATGGATGTCGCGGAGATGCAGGCTGGGAATACCCGCGTTCAATATCCAAAACTTCGGATGTTTGAGAACGTTGTCTCTCCCATTGCCAAGTAAGTCTCTTTCATTTGGACATGTCTATTGAGCAGTTCGACACAATTAGACAGCTCGCCCTCCACATCCGAGGATAAAAATCAAACTGCTCAGTAAGTCATCCCTACGATTTACTTCTATTTTTCAGATTTGAAAGAATGTATACTTTGCAGCTTAAAATTTTAGCAAGCTTGAGTGAACTGAATACAAATATGAAACTTGTACTCTCAAAGTTCACTGACCGCCAAGATCCGCGTCAATTTGACTGTGGACTATCCAGTCAACAGTTCCCTTTGTCATCAGAAGAGGAACTGGGAACTTTGGACGCTTGTCTAGAGCAAAAAGACGTGAGGGACAGATTTGTAAGCACACAACATGATTTTTATCATTCATTCCTATTACAGATGGCTATGTTGACACGTCTAATGGATGATGATCCTAAAACCTCTATGCGATATATTCTGTCCTACATCATGAAACCGGAAGTCGCCATTAATTTCACATTACTGGGTACTTCATCAAAAAGAGCGATTCAGAAGTGCAGGTTTTACGGCTGCGTACGAAGTAAGATAAATAAGGTTTTTAAACTTCAGGTGCACTGACTAATCGTTTCCTGTCGTCATCTATCAACGAGAAAGACCTTGCGAAATTGTATGACATGGCTACGCAAAGTTATTTCCACGACATGAGAGTCCAGAAGCGTCATCGACGTAACAAAGAACACGTATGTACGGCTTTAAAGTGATTACTGTTTTTGCATTATCTATAGGAACAGTCTTTCGTGTTCAAGGATATTACCGTAAGTCCAGCTTCAAGTACCTTGTTGTGCAAAACAAGTTTCCTAGATTCAATAACGTCTTTCTTTATCATATTTTAGAATTCACAAGAATTGTTTGACTTTCCATAGTCCAACAGGCCTGGTGAAAATAAAGAATACGTGAAATGCCTGGTCCGTGACAATGACAATTACATATGGAGCATTGATACTCTACCATCTGCTCATAACTTTGTACATTGAAGAACTGTTTGTTTTCAATAAAAATTTGGAAATTATACCATATTTTACGTACTTTACATTATTCGTGTGCTGTGTTGTGGGAATGAAAGCGAACACAGGAGGCGGTTGCGGTAAATGCATTAGTGTGTATGTAGTGGAAAAGTAGTCAATGTAGCGGATATTTGAGGTAGAAGTCGGATATTTAGGGGAAAAGTCGGCTATTCGTCGGATATTTAGGGGAAAAATCGGAAATTTAGCGACATTTGAAAACCAGAGCGACAGAAAGGGGAAATTCCGCTTTATTTCCCCCGGACAGGCGAAAAAGCAGACATTTCGGTGCATTTCCCCTTTATTTACGACTTATTTTCCAATGCATTTTCCGCTTTATTTCCCCTTTATTGGTTGTTTGGGTAACCTTAACCATGAACTGTAAATCATAATTTGAATTATAACGTGCTTCTTGATAGTTGGCAGTAATCAGCATTAATGATAACAGTCTAAGCGTACGGCTAAGCTGAAATGTAGCTTTGAAATTGAACATAAAACCTAAATTATGAGTAAAGTTCGAAAACGTTTGTTATATTAATCTATAAGGTTTATTTCTGAGGTCGAACAGGCGCCTGGCACATAGTACTGTTATCTTTTCAAAATTATACAAACCAGCATACTTGCCTAAATGATCAATTTAACTATTTCTACATATCTGTCAAGCTCTTTTGAAATTGGTTTATGGTCACAAACAGAAGTATCATTGTAATATTCAAACTACTGTTATTATTGTTGTTGCAGTCAGCATTAATTATTCAATCTTAACAAGAAAGTAATTCCTTTTCTATTTCATTTAGTTAATTCTGATACTTTTTCTTCTGTCAGAAATAAAACTTAACTATAGACCACCAACAAATTGAATTCAATATGAATTATTTTTATTTTCCATTACTTATTTACAGGAAAATGATTAAATCTTATGGTAGCTCAAATATAATGATGCAATTTCTTAAGCGTTCAAATAAAGATAATACTTGTGATCAAACAAATATCCACAACAATTCTAGTCATGATGCTTCATACAAGGATATTGATGCAATAAAAAAGGAGGAAACAAATCAATAGAATATACTTTCTTTATTTTTAACCAAAAGAAAATTTTATTACCAATCATTTATTAAATCCCAGATTAAAATTTTGGCACAAAATATATTATGAATATATATAATCTTGTTTTCTGAAAAAAAGTTATTTTAAAAAAGAAAGCAAATAGATGAATATATTATTAGTTCGATACAAAAGTTACTAACTAGGGTAAAAAAGTCAAAGCAATTTAGATTCAAAGTTAAAAAGAAGGCGGAAAATATTTATTTGTACTGTTGTTTCTCTTCATCATCATTCGGTTCATTTGTTGGAGTTGGTGGATCAGCAAATCCATCGTCATCATCATTATTATTATTGTTTACAAGTTCAGTTAGTTCATTGTTTTGCGTCGCCGACATCGCGATACGAGTATTATGTATGTGACGTTTTAATTGACGACCAACAGTTGAACGCAAATTTGATTGTCCCAAGCGGCCAGTATTATCCTTTACCTAATGACGCAAAAATCAAGGAAGAATTGCAGATAAGTGACAATTTTATAATTTGCTGTTGTGTAACCAGTGAAAAATTGTCACAACACACTTGATTAGTATGGGATGAAACGTTGTTAGTAGTAGGTGTAGATATGCTTTACCTTCATAAAGGTAGCAGTTACATTAAGTACGGTTAACGAATTTATGGAAACAAGCTAAAGGATTCATACACACGAGAAGTTAAATGATGGTGGGTTATATATATATACCTCAGAGTAGAAAATCAACTTATCAGCCTGGACTACCTGTATCACTTGTGATCTTTGCATAGTGTAGTTGTAACGAACCTACAAGTTCGCACATAAAACCATGAGCCACATCATATATCCTGTAAGGACTAGTAAATATTATTTAATTGTCTAAGTCTTTATAGGGAAAGCACTACGCCCTGTTTGTCTGACATTCGAACGCTTAAACCAGCAAATAGTCGCTTAACATTCTTAAAACCTTGCTCCTTTTTCGACGTCAAAATCTTGATATACGTAGTTTATCTTTAATCCTTCTGTAAAATCACTGCTACCTTTTGTTAAGGGATATTGAAAACGAAAATCCAGTTAGTTTATATTTTAACAGTCGAATCGTTATCTGGAAATTGCGTAGATTGCTAAAATGCAACTACGGATTTGTAATTGCTGATCCACCTTCAAAATGAATAGATGTGTTTGAATAAAGAAGTTAGAGTTACAGGTTAAAACGTTTACTAAGTGAAAATAATAACACATAGCTTACATTTGGTTCTGATGATTTAGTACTCTCAGGATTACATGGGTTATAATAAAATGAAGCTCTTTTACGTCTCTGACGAATATGTGTGTATACATTTTGGATGAGTTTTACGTCATCATACCGGAAATTTGAATCGAAAAATCTTCTGGGATCATCAAATTTTAGCTTGACTGTAGGAATTCTGGAACCCGTATTTACGAATTTCAAGTCTACCATTGGAAAGCACATTATTTTATTGACTACTCCAGATGGTAGGGTTTTGTACATTTTATGCCTATCTCTTGAAGAATCACGTCTCCCGCTACGAACTGAACCTAGACCTCGTGAAAGAGATGATTGTCGACGCAATTCTTCTGTGAAGTTCTGATTATTTTGACTCCATGGGAAATGAGAATTAATTGGTGTAGGAGGTAGAGCATTGAGATTATTCACTAACCCACAATCACTACTACATTCATTATTACTATTATCTTCGTTTGAAACAGGATCAGAGGACAATCGATTTGTTTCTGGTTGGCTCACTAACAAATATAGATCTGCAAGTGAAGAAGTTAATTAAATGGATTCAGAGATATTAAAAGAAATCACATTAAAGTTACCTATGTTCAATATATCAGTTATATTTATTACCAAGTGCATCAAACTTGTTATACACTATCTCCAAGGATCTTCATTGTAATTTCAAGAAAAATGGTAATGTAACCCGAAAATGTAATATACAAATACCAAAATTTAGTACGATGTTCTGAGACCTGAAACACTTGTCAATTAAATGCCTCTATAAACCTGTTGATTATCACAAGATACTTAGGGCAGCTAACATTCATACAACCATTCTTTGCAAGCTGTTGATAAATCTATCAGCAGATGTGAAATGAAAATTCACTAAATACCTGCTGCATATACAACTCCGTAAACGTTTGGATAAATACAAAATCGGACTAACTTAAAAGTCAACTTATTCCAAGATTTATTAAAACTGATATAATTTGAACTGTCATATACATAAAATTCAAATACCAAATAATCATTGTCTGTTCACATTCGTAGTTCCATGGAAACCCACTACAAGTTTTTATCATTGATTGTTTTGACGGAAAAATAATCCAGTTATTCACCAAGTTCTGAGGTAATGTAATGTGTAAAGAAAAACCGTGTTCCATAGAAAAGCTGGTGTTCGCAGTATTTTAGAATGAATATTCTTGTGTATGTTAGGTATAAAAGAGCTGATAATAAGCTAAGTATGTAATTGGACATTTTTCATACGTAACAGGGAGTTGTGTATTTTCTAGGCTTCTTTTCAAGATTCTGGTCAAAGTACATATATATATATATTGAAACCTGACAAAGCAAAACAGCGAACTCTCACTTACAATTATTACAATTTTGCAACAGGGCGCGCAAAGGATTTGGAAGGTATTCTAAACACAACAGGAAGTAAAAAAAACAATTAAATATTCAATTCTGCAGAACATCACTGAGCGATACACGCAACAGTTAAATGTAAATTAGTGCAACTCAATATGATAGTACAATTTCATACGTTTATCAATAAGTTAATGAGGACTAGAGATTTACACAGGCTCCTCAAACCAAAGTAATATATATAAAACATTATCACATTTAACACAGTTTATGCGCTTAAACCACCACTGAGCCATCGCCTTGTAAAAAAAACACCAGTAGTGTCATAACAAGCGCAAACATGCAAAATACATGCGTTGAAAATTGACAACATGCATAAAACAAAACACTGGAAACCAAGAAGCGTTGGACAGCTGTTTCGTCCTAATATGAGACTTCTCGGCAGCGCGCATCCACGACTCCATCATAGATCAAACCCAAGACCTTCAGGTCTCGCATAGAGAACTTTTAAACTGCTGGGCGGGAATCTGATGGTCAACGGGTTTAACTCCAGCTAGCTTGCGATATTGAATACCCACCTTTCATCGTTTTCGGTGAGGAACTGACTCATACTTGACACGGTTGGACTCCGCTAGTCACAGCTTCTCACTGGAGCTCCGAGAATTTCTCCTCCAAGTTAGTTATTGATGAACACATGATAATTATCAGTATGCGAGTTTGTGGAGGTTGTTGGACTGATTGAAGTTAGGCACCCACTAAGATGAAATAGACATCCATTGCCTCCCGGATTTTCGGTGGCTGTTTAATTTAGATCACTTCGTAATTTCAATAACATTTGACAGTCTCTAGAAGCCTCAACAGTAATAGTTCTTTTTTGTTATTTGCTAGTATTCTCGCTTGATACAACTGCGTACTGTTGTTTAATATACAGTATGTGTCATTGTTCTATTCCTTGATTATGCTTCTTACTGTATAAATGACGCTCTAATCTCTGATTATATGATACTATGTGTTTACATTTTATTTACAGTAATAGTTCCATGCTTTCAAGTAAATCTTAAGTGTAACTCGGTCATTGGGGTAAAGGTGTTGCACATATATTTTGAGAATAATGATACTACAAACAGTTTAACATTTATGTGAAATACAAAAGTTTTGCACAGATAACATAATATTTCTTTTCAATTAGTTTTTCATCATGGCTCTACACTAATATATATATGATTTACAATAATTAAATAACACTCATGGATACGTTACGTAATGATTATATAATGACATCGATTATAAACTAACGCGAATTGGAAGAGAAGGATTAATACTAATCAAAGTAGTTATTCAAAAATCAAGCTGTTGCTACGTTGCATAATATATAAAAATGAGAAGAAAGAACTAACAAAATATTTTGATGAATGGTCAGTAATATAGTAATTATGTAAGAATCAAGAGACGAATGAAGAGAATAAGTGAAATACAAAAAATGGAAGGAATAAGATAATTGTTTACCGAAATTATGCTACAAACTCCGCTATACCGATGGCCAAGGTAGCGAGAGTGGTTGTACAAACTTCATATATATATTAGTGTAGAGCCATGATGAAAAACTAATTGAAAAGAAATTTCTTCGCTCGATTCGTTCCTTTTTTAATTAACAAATGTCAAAATGGGAATTTTCACTTTATTAACATAATATTTCACAACATCAAAAATGTGTGTGCATTGTGAATGATACGTTTTTTTACTGCTTGTCGCCAGGATAAGTTAAACACTACTGAACAATAGTAAAATAAGTTATGATTCAACTAGCAACAAGTGTCCGTTATGCACACATGCTTCGCAATGCCTCTCCATCAACTTACGAAATTTGAATCGCATTTAACATTCTAGTAGCATGAAAGACATTAGTCGAAAGGTCAGAAAGATATTAAAAAGTAAATATACGTGTAGCACAATTATAAGCTATATTACAATAAATTGCTAGATTTAGATTCATGACTCCAAGTCAGGACAGGTTAGTGAGGTAGGACACTTATCCGTGGAATTCCTTATGGATGTTCATTGTGTCCAATATCTAACATTTCTGTGCTCATTCAGAGCACACATACTTCGCATAATATAGGAACACAATTTTCACTCAGTATTTAATTTAAAACCCTAACTTTGACTTTACTTGACTTCTTCATCCGGTAAGCTGGAATGTGATGTAGTAAGGTGTTCACAGAAGGCACATGTAAACGGCTTTAGATCGTTAACATGAAGTCACCAGTAAAAATAACAATTATATGCAGCGTTGACACATTAAATGAACGGAAAAATGTCGGATATTGCTCATTTTCTTAACACTGAAAAGATGACGTTTATCCTTACACCAGTCCTATAATAGCAAACTTTTGTAGTGAATAGTTGGAATAACAAACCAGAAGGAAGAAAAACCTATTTATAACATCATAGGAATAGTCAGTATTTGACTAGCAGTGGTATAATACTAGATGTTTTACAGTGTATACTGAGTCAAAGAATAATTTTAGTGTCAAATATAAATATTAAATAACCTACTATCTGAAAATGTGATCTATACCACATGAGGTAATTATACAGACTGCTATTTTTCAGAATGTGACTGACAGTGTTTCAAATTCAGGTAATGACTTATTATTGATTAACGATATCAGTCAATCCCAATCTATGAATGGATAATAACGTCTTGATACAGGATGATGGTCTCTATACAAAGGAAATATAAATCTCACAAACTTTATTGATAGTTTTTGCCTTATGACAGAAAACAAATGGATTTTTCCACTGTGCCTGCTGACCATTCTTTAATAGCTCTTTAGAAATTTACTGTCATAGTCGTGGATGCTATCACGAGATTAGTCGAATTTAAAGAACAGTGAGACAACTCTCAAATTCTCCTACATAGTGTTGGTGAGTAAGTTATAGGGATGACTGCGAATTCTGTTTTATGTACATTAGCTTACCATAATAGAGGA